GTGGACTTCTGGGACCAGTCGACGGGCTGAGCCTCTCTTCCCCCCCATAAGGACGCTCGTGGGTAAGATTCGAACACTTGGCTATACCAAGTGCTTCCCCGGGAAACTTAGAAATCTCTATATAGAGTGGTTTTATAACTTAGGGCATTTGTAACCGAGCTATATTGCTAGCATCTTTAGTATTCGCACGTGCTTTGCAGACAGTCCCTATCACTGGCAATCCAAAAGAACTTGTGTATCTGTTGTTTAAATAAACTGCACTGTGTAGGCTGCTAGTCGTTTGGGTTTTCTTATTGAACGCGACCGAAGCGAGGCCATGTTAGTTCATGAGCACGACTGGGCTGAAGGTGCAGTCTGCTATGAGTGTATCCAGAACCATAACAGTTTAATATATTAAATGTGCCTGGACTGATAGTGGTGAATTGGGCATCACTCAGAATCTAAACCTAGCCGCACCTGGCCTCCCACCTCGGTGAGGAGTGTTAGAACGCAAGGGGGTTTATTTTCTGCCAAAACTACTTTGCCCCTTTAACACAACAATGCTTCAATTTGAAGTCATCTTTTTGGGAATGGATAACTAGAGTTAAATGTATATAATATCCCTGAAGAGATTTCACATGTGCCTCATCCTTTTGTTTCCTGCCTCTCTTGAAGATACCCATAACCTAAAGCGTATCAGTGTACCCTAAATAACCTCCTTCTGTTCCTCAGCTATCACATATTGATTACTTGGTCATCTTATGCTCTTTTAATATATCCAGACCTTTATCCTCCCTTTTTTTCATTTCAGTTAGTGATCTTCCAGTTTAAATAGAGGTTCTTGTTTTGTTTTTTTTTTTGAAATGTATGGTCTTACACATCACACTGCCAAATTTCACTTCATTTCAATTATTTGTGTCTTCACGGTTGTCCAGTTCTTTCTGTAGAACATACCTCTGTTGTATCAAGGTTAGTTACTTATCTGTGCTAGCCACTAATTTCAGTAATGCTGAACAACTGAAACTACTTTTGTATGAACAACATTAAGTAGACTATAAAAAAATATTAATCAGATCAGTCCCATGACTGATCCTAGAAGGTCTTTGCAGGTTGCATCTCTCAAATCCTGAACTTTGACCATTTGTAATCCCCCTTTCAAATACTTTACTGAAGCTCAGGTAAGTTAGAACTGTTCCACTTACTTTGTCTAAAAAAAAAGAAAGGAGAGTATTAGAGTAAACTGGAATGATCTGCCAATGATATACCCATGATTCATTGTATCCCATTTTCTGTGTATTTGCTTGCCTTTAAACAGTCTTTCATTCAAAATCAATTGTAAATCACTGCATATTATAAAGATTAATGTGCCTGTAGTTGCACAAATCTCTTTTATGCACAGATACTTTTATCTCCAAAAATTGTTACAGCCTCTTGAAATTCAAAGCATAAAGAAGGAGACCTACTAGCATCACTGTGAGCACCTGTAGAAGTGGTACAGAACAGCTCTTACAATAATTTGTTAATACAGGTAATATAGTTCACAGAATCGCAGAATGATTGAGGTTGGAAGGGACCTCTGGAGGTCATCTTGTCCAACTTCCCCTGCTCAAGCAGGGCCACCTAGAGCTGACTGGCCAGGACCACATCCAGATGGGGTTTGAATATCACTAAGAATGGAGACACCATCCATTATTAGTTAATAGTAGTCTACGTGTTATAGTAGTACTTAAAAGTAGTAATATCTGCATGTTAAATCACAGTTCTGTGAGCTGCCATGGAAGCTGTTGTTCATCTCCTTGCTGTTTGAATTTCATGCTTGTATAATCTCCATCTGTTCTCCTTAGCTGAAGAAACTAGTTGTGTAGACAAACTGTGGTGGGTTGATCTTGGCTAGATGCGGGGTCCCCAAAAAGCCACTCTATCACTCCTCCCCCTCAGCTAGACAGGGGAGAGAAAATATAATGAAAGGCTTGTGGGTCAAGATAAGGACAGGGATATCACTCACCAGTTACTATCATGGACAAAACAGACTCAGCTTGGGGAAATTAATTTAATTTATTGCAAATCAAATCAGAGTAGGGTAATGAGAAATAAAGCCAAATCGTAAAACGCCTTCCTCCAACCCCTCCCTTCTTTCCAGGCTCAACTTCACTCCCGAATTCTCTTCTTCCTCCTCCCCCGAGCAGCGCAGGGGGACAGGGAAGGGGGGTTGTGGTCAGTTCATCACATGTCATCTCTGCCGCTCCTTCCTCTTCACACTCTTCCCCTGCTACAGCATGGAGTCCTTCCCACAGGAGACCTCCACGAACTTCTCCAACGTGGGTCCTTCCCACAGGCTGCAGTCCTTCAGGAATGAACTGCTCCAGTGTGGGTCACAAGTCCTGCCAGCAAACGTGCTCCAGCGTGGGCTCCTCTCTCCATGCATTCACAGGTCCTGCCAGGAGCCTGCTCCAGCACAGGCTCTCCATGTGGTCACAGCTGAATCTTAAAGTGTGTCTTGCTCTACATGCAGAGCAATTTTATTTTTTTTTACCCCACTGTTAGCCAGCATTTCACACAAGAAGTAGGCTACCGTAATCAAGGCAGAAAAGGTTTTAAATGGACCTTGTCCCTACCTGAAAAGTTGCAGTGTATTCCAGCCCTTTGGAAATTACTCTCACTTGGAAAGAGTAGAAAGGAAAGGAGTGAGAAGGAAAGAATGGATGAGTAGAAAGGGATGTTCAGTTGAAGACTCGTTCATACCACATCCGTGGCATTGATAGTTTGTAAGTTCTTTGTGTGCATTATCATGATACTTTATTTCTGATTGGAATATCTGGGCATCATCTCAGTACTAACAAATAATAGTATCCATATGACAAGTTACAGAGCACTAAGTATACGTTGACTATATGCTATTCCTCTTTAGCTACCTCCTCTAGACTTTACTCACAAATACATCATCCTTAGATCCATCAACATTGCCAGCCTCGTAAGAAGCTTGAACAGCTTTTAAAGGCCTTCACAACCAGTCTTTTATACAACAGGAATGTGTTATAATTTTGAACACAAATGTTCTAATATAAAGATTAAAGCTCTGCTAAGCTTCTGGTTGTGGTGGTATTTTGTCAGGATTGTGAAAAAGTACTGACTTCTTTCTGGTATGAATTTTGCTTGGTGTAGCTTGGCAGAGTGTCTTGACTGATGATACCATTTTAATACAATGAGAAAAATGTTTGGGGTTTTTTTTGCTGTTCAGTGTTCCCAGAACTATAGTGTATTTAAATCCCTATAGTAATATACATATAAACTTTTTTTTATATATATGTATTTATATGATTTTCTGATGGAAGCATGAAAATGAAAACAAGAGTGAACTCAAAATGTGAAAGAGTTGAATACTGCTTCCATTGAAGCCAACGGCAAATCTTGCTACTTTTCTCTGGAATGCAAGTACTAATGCTTTGTTTTTATAGTCAAAACAAGCAATACTTGATACAAATTAAGCAGTTTTAGAAATTTTATATGCTAATGCACTTGAGCATCAATATAGTTATACATTTTTTAGTCTCCAATGATAATTAGCAAGAAATTTTGTATCTTTTTGGTCAGAGAAACAAAAAAATTTTGTAAACATAGAGATTAAATAATGTTTTTAGGAGAATGTAAAAGTGGTTATATCAAATAGTAATTAAAGTTAACAGCGGCTTGCCTAGCAGAATGTAGTCATTCTCAGGTAACATCAGTTTTGCCATAAAATTTTTTATGCTTTGCAATAGTTGAGCTTTGACTGAATTATTCTGCCAACTGTAAATTACTTCTTTTATATTTTTACACATAATAAAATATAAACCAGCAAAAAATAATCTAAGGATTTCTTGGGAAGAGTCTTATCAAACAAGCACATTTACTTTGCATTCACATTACCGTTAGTCAGAACTTCCACTGAGCGAGTCAAAAATTCTAGAAGCATTTGGTAATGGGAGACACTGTTTCCTGGGCTTTTTGTCTGTGTATTCTGTCTTTCATTTGCTGTGGAGACATAAAGTTTTTGTTAAATTCTACTGATGCTTTTTATTTTTGGTGATTCAGTATTATTGTAGGCAACCTATTTCCTTACTTCACTTTCATTTCTGGGGACAGGGTGTAGTCCATCTTATTTAGTGAAGTTTTGACTATGACTCCAAAAAAGTGGGTTTTTTAAGGGATGTTGTTTTCTTCTGGTAGCAGTAGCTGATTTTTCTCAAATGGCAGCTTAGACATAGATAAAAGAACGTGTCTTCAAGCCGGACTAGAAAATGGATGCACCTAAACTCAAATTTTGATCCTCAAACTCCTATTTATTTGCCACCGCATTCTAGAGATTATGAAACTCTATAGGCTCATTGGGTTTTGACATTTATTCACTGATCATCGGAAGTTCTACTTGCCTGTCTTGACACATAAGAGAAGCTGAGTGCCAACCTCTTGCCAAACCCACACAGTGATTCACACACCAGACATTTCTCCACATATCCTCTCCAAAGGCCTCAATTAAGAAGGCATTCTTAGAGCACGTCTAATGAACTGAGTTCCACGTGGTACAGCAATAGTTGTCTATTTTAAGAGTGGGCTGGTTGTAGCTTGCTTTTTTGCATTTTTATATTTCAGGTTTTAGAATGCAACATGCAGAGTACAGAACATAGGTCTGTGCAACTCTGAGGAGTTTCAAGCCTCTCTGTCTCCTGCTGTTCTACAAAGTGAACTGATCACTAATCTGTAAACTGCTCTTACGATGGCAGGCGGGTCCTTTCAACCTTGTCTCTTTTCTGTTCTTTTTTGGTTAGGCAGAGATGGTTTAGAATTAGGCATAGAATAGTAAAGTTTGGATCACTCAAGTAATTTTCTGAAAATGAATCTTAGGGTTTTTTCTTTTTTACCTCAATTATATAATGACCTGTTTTGATGGGTGGAAGGTCTTTGGCGTGCCACCTCTTGAATTTTGCTTCAGTTCCACATAGTATTATTTACCAGATAATGTTTTGTCTCTGCAGCTGCTTTCATATGAAAGGCTGTTCCACACTTGACAGGTTTAGCGTAATCTGTGTGCAGGATTTATGGTATCAGAAATTGATTCTGATTCAAATACTGCACTTATGCTTACAGGATAAAGTTTAACATGCCTCTAGGGAATTCTAAAACTGTGCTTGCAAAAACTCCTGCTCAGCTGTTAAAGAGGGACTGATTTGGGGAGGGTCCTAATTTTTTTTAGCACTTGCCTCTTTTCCATTCTGCAGTTATGCTAATGTAAATGACAGTTAATAGTCAGTAGGAATAAGGAAGGAGAAGGTGGGGGGAACCCGTATTAAGAAAGAGGAGGAAAAGCAGAGGTCTTCAGACCTGCTTCTATTCAAATTACTGTTTTATTATCTGCTTGCTGTTAGAATGAGCAGAGGAGTGATAAAAGGAGGAAAACCAAGAACTGTGAGAAAACAGAATTAAAATTTAAATAGGAAAGGAGAGAAAAGCATGCATTGCAGGGGAGAGGGTACAGTATTTCTCTGAACCAATAATCTGGTTTCTGTGGAGTCCAGTAAAGCATTTATCTTCCCATATGTTTATTGGGGAAAGGTGTTCATTGTAGCTCAGTGGTCTGTAAGTGAGGTGGAGAAAGACTGTACTAAGGTCATATTAAGAACAGAGTTCTACTTTTAATTTCTGAAATGCACACTCAAGTTTGTTTCATAATAATGTTACATGTGGCAGACCTTTCTACTTTGCAGCAAAGTGCTTTTCTTAAACATAACTAAAGGTTTTTTATATATAAAAGTAAATAGTAATATAACAGCCTAAATATAAATAGCAAAGGAAATATGCTTTTATCAAATTAAAACTTATAAAAACTTTAACTTAATAAAGCAATCATCAGTCAGCTTGTTTGTGTTTATAAACATTTTAAACTTATTGTCATCTCTGGAAAATTGTGATTATAGTTTAATTATAAGAACATAAATATATTCTTCAGTTTTCCATAATAGCATTTCTGACATGTTTACTGACTTTTTACTGAGATTTTAATTATTCATTTATATATTTTTTCAGTGCACACCAAAGTGTGGCCCAGGGTTCAAACACCGAATTGTTCTGTGCAAAAGCAGCGATCTTTTAAAAACTTTTCCAGTCGCGCAATGCCAAGAGGAAAGCAAACCTCCAGTCCGCATCCGCTGTAGTTTAGGCCGATGTCCTCCTCCTCGCTGGGTCACTGGAGACTGGGGACAGGTAAGATAGTTCATATAAGTGTTTATTGCTGTTAGTCTCCTACACGTTAGTACCTTTAAGGATAAGATGTTGCTGGAAATGGATAAAAGATGGTTCCCGTGACTGAAACAAAAGCTTCTCCCCTGTTTGTCTCAGACTGAAATGTTATTTTGAATGATAGTTGTCTGCTTAACCATAAAGGATTTGCTGACAGTAATCTAGTTTCTACTGGATGAGTTTCCGTATGCATTTTTTTTAAAAAATAAATAGTCCTTATTACAGCTTTTTAGAAGGGGATTTTGGAATACAACAATGTTGCAAGGTTTAGTATTTTTAAAACACATTTAACCTTGTAAAATTTTAATTGGCTTTGTATTTCCATCATGTTTCTCAACTAAGATATATAGCCACCCAAAAAACCTTCAGAGATCTAAATAATTGTACATAAAATATGCTTAATTACCAGACGGGGATCTAAATTGTTACAGCACAGGCTGAATGGTGCTGCCGTTATGCAGTGTTTCTAAATAGGATATACTGAATTTCCTTCTTTCATTATGTTTTTGCATCTCAATTATGATCAATGTCCTGTTATTAAACAATAACTTGATATTTCAGTTTCTAAGTTTGCTGAGTAATTTGCCACTAATGAAAATAAAACACTTAACCAACCAGGGGACAATAATTTCTGATATTACAGTCTATTTGACTTTTCTTTTAAGCTAGTTGTACAGGTGCACATCTATCTTAAGTCAATATGTCCTAAAAACACTGTTTAGTTATAGAAATTAAAAAATATTTTGAAACAGCAAAGTATTTTTGTTTGAAAGATACTTTCCTTTTGTCATAAAAAAGTGCTCTAGCAGATTTGAATTCTTGTTCTCCTTGGTTTTTCTTCTTTGTTCTAAAGTAAATGATTTCTCTCTTGAAAACATGAACTTAAACTCAGACATGATATATAAAATAGTGTAAATTATATTCTTCTACCTCAAATCCAAACTGTTCAGGGACCTAACATTGCATTGTGTTTTATTTTCTTTGAAAGACGAGTGGTCGCATATACTGTCAAAACTCCCCCCAAAATCTAAGCTATTTTATGAAAATTATTTTATGTATTAACCAAATCTCTTCAGATGCTTGTCTTTTTTTTAAAAATTTGTGTATGTGTACTGTTCCTGATTGCTTTCCTGTTATCTCGTTTTACATTTAAAAATTGGATCCAAGTTGTTTTACTTTTTTATCTCTTATTTTTAGTGTTCTGCACAGTGTGGTCTTGGGCAACAGATGCGAACAATACAATGCCTCTCATACACTGGACAAGCATCCAGTGAGTGTCCAGAAACACTTAGACCTCCATCAATGCAGCAGTGTGAAAGTAAATGTGACAGTACACCCATTTCCAACACAGAAGGTAAGTTTGCCATCTTAATATAATTTATTCTGGAAAGAGTAAAGTGACATGGTCAGTATTACTGCATTAATTTATTAGTAAAAGTCTGCATTACATCATCTCAGACTGTGAATGAATTTTTTACAATTATTTTCTAATTTGTCACTGTAGTTCAAAGGTGAAGTAAATAAAAACCTAAATGTAGGTTCTTCATTTAAAAAAAAACACCCTTCAAAATATATAGCATAAATCATGGACAAAATGCTATCATTTTGTGTCATTAATTTTCCGGTCTCTTTATTGGTTCAATGGAAATGTCCATCATAGCAGGGGGAGCATGATATACTTCTCATCCGCTGAACTGTTACCTGTGGTTAACAAAATGGCAAAAATACTTGATTGCATGTTCATTGAAAGACTGGGACCACAGATTTAATGCTGCACTGTGCTACAAGCCTATTCTTATACTTTGACTTACTTTTCAGCTTCTTCTAATTAACTTTAAATTTTTTGGATTTATAATGCCTGTTTGAAATAATTACAGTATTTTTACATGATACAGCCTAATTTAATCAGACTATTAACTAACTTCATCATAACATATTTTTGCTAGAGGATATATTAGATAATGATATTAAAATAAACTTATTAATGTTTATGAAAGGCTCCAGATCTGGACTCATAAATTGTCCAAGCCAACCTATTAGGAAATTCTGTCATCAAAGTACAATTTGAGTGCTAGGCAGGAAAAAAAAGTTTCCTTACTGATTGTAAAAGTTTAGAATAGTTACTCACCAGATGAGTACATTCCATTTTGTGTGGAAGGGGAAAATGAATCAAAAATTACCAAAATACACATGTCCAAAAATAAAGATTGCACAGCAATAATAGTTCTCTTAAAACAGGTATTCCCTAAATTTTGAGTGCTTGACTTTGCAATGTCACTAAAGTTACTCCTTTTAATGTAACTAATCTCTGTGCAGTATTTAATGGAGTATCTTTTATACAGGTTCTCCAGCTACACTGAAGATTAATATCCTATTTATATGGAAGGAATACTCTGATTTTAAATAAAAAAAAAGGCAAAATCATGCTACAGTCTTTCCTGATTTGGTGTTCATTTAATACCTTCTGTATCCATTCAGGTTCATGCCAGATTCAAAGTTGTCATAAAAGTCTGTCAAATTGAGATGTCTGTAATGAAATGGAGCATACTAAATCTTCCCAGAAATACACTGAAGATTCACTATGAGCACTGTAATTTACTGCTTGGAAGTTTTAAATTTAAATAGAGGCTTATCATTCCATGTTGTAATTTGAAAAGCATCCTCATAATAGAATTTTACTTGGTTACTTTAATTCCCATTTTTATGTTTCATGCTCTTAAGTAATCTTTAGGTGATGATTATCAATCTAGGAAACATTCTGCCCTTTAAAGTTCAAAGTCTAACAGTTATTTTATTTCCAAACACAAATGCCTTTCTCCAAAGTAAGGAAATAATAAAGTACTTATAAGTATACGATTAGTTTCAATCTCCTCTTAATTTCAAGATGAAAAACTCATGTTCTTATTTATAGTCATTATGTTAGTAATTCTTTAATATTATCAGGAAAATACACTGATCTCTCATAGATGAATACAATCAGGGATTTTCTGTGTGTGATCTATGGACACTGGGTGGCCATGGACTCTTTAAAGTAGAACTGTGAAAACTATGAAAAGCAAACCTGTTGGCAATAGAGTTTTCCAGGGACCTACACCTTCACTGGAAAAATTTTGGGATCTGCAAATTGAAAATGTTGAAAACAACTTACACAGTATTCCAGATGTACTTCAGCTCTTTGACCTGCACTCTGAGTTGGCCAGGCATGAGCCAGCTCCTTACTGAGAGCCATGCAGCCTCATTAGCACAGTACTTTGCTTGAGCTAATAAGTCCTAGGAAGGATTGAGGGGAAAAAGATATAGCACAATCTCTTCCAGTAGATACAGTTCCCAACACATTGCCACTTAGCACCCCATGTTTGCTTTTGTCCCATATTGAAGGTATTTACTGGAAACCACCGATTATTTGTAAGCGGTTAAGTGGCTCAAATAGCTCAAAAGTAAATGTAATCTCAAAGTTCATTTAACAATTTAAAATACCTACATCCTTTCAGAAGAAACTAGTTGCAATCCATGGAATACTGTTTGGTGTGTCTGTCTGTTGTCTCTTTCATATTTGGCTTACAGATGTCTCGGAGTCAAGGACTGTTGTTCTGTCAGGACTTGGAGCAACAGCATCATTTCCTCCAGTCTTCACTTCTAGATATCAAATCAATACAAAATATGACAATAGTCAAAGTACTGCTACTTTCTTTCCTTTTTATTCACATTTCTTTATAGCTGTTATAATCTGAGAAAGATTGTAGGAGGAAGCCAGTATCAAATGTAACCTTAAAACAGTAAAAAATTACAGCATTCTTTTGAGACAAATTATTTTCTGAGAAATTAATCTAATTTCATTCTTCCCACCAATTCATTTTTGCAATTCAAACTCGTGGGTTTTTCTTTTTCTAAGTATACATCTCTTCCATCTTCCTATACATGAAGCAAGGCTCCTTGACAAAGTCATATTTTAATATCAGTCTGTATGAAACTGTGCAAATGCTTTTGACTAAAAAAATCCCTATCAGGCATCTATCACAATATTGACTCCAGTGCAAAGCAAATCTGCAGTAGCAACATCTGAGCTGTAGAACCTGAGTGTACCATTGAGCTCTCAGATACAGCTGTATCTCCAGCTATAATCAGAATAAGAACCGGGCATGGACCAAACTATTCCATTCCCTATTCCCACCTTCTTTCTACAGAAAGGAAACTGAGCCAGAGAAGAACCACAGCATACTCCAGCAGTGCTCCCGTGTCATACACTCACAAGTCACTTTAGGTATAACCTGTGTGGGATGGAAAAGAAGTAATCCTTCCTCTGCGTGGTTGAGCTCGTTCTCCCTTCCCGGAAGAGTTACTTGCCAGTATGACAAGGGCTGCTGAGGCAGTAATCCCAGGATATAGGGAAAACACAATTACGAAAAAAAGCTCTTGCATGTCTATTACAGGCATAAAAATGTCTTTTCCTCCTGTATAAAAGACAGTGTGGATGTATGGAACCGCACCTGAAATATAATCAACCATTCAGCCTAGTCACTGAGCTCACATTGTTGGTGTCTTTATAATACTTGTTTTCTCCACCCCTCTTAGCTGCAATGCATATTCTATTTCAAGGATTCTTACAAATGCACAGGCATGGTACCAAATAGTGCAAATTGTGTTAGATTTTGGATAACCTCTCACGGATGAATAAAATAACTCCTGAGAAAGAAGATATAAAAGTATTGTAAGAAAAATGACTCATATTTCCTAGCTGGCTAAAGTGATCATTTATCCCAATAAATGGTAATTCTTTCAAGACAAAGTGGGCACACTTCTAAATGCCTGGAAGAGAAGCCCTGCAAACATTTTTATGGCTTATTAAAATATATTGTGTGCACTAGGCTGAACTAGAAAGAGTAGTTACAAAGAGGGCAAGGTGGATGGATAGAGAAGCAGCATGTTAAATGTCAAATTTTCTTTGTACTTTAATTTTTATTTCTGATTTTTTCTCTTTAATGCTCTACATTATTAGAGTGCAAAGATGTGAACAAAGTGGCATATTGCCCACTGGTGTTGAAGTTCAAGTTCTGCAGTCGAGCATACTTCAGACAGATGTGCTGCAAGACCTGCCAAGGACGCTGATGCACAGAAAGCATGAGAATGTGCCTTGTTATTACTGTGGAAAAGTGTCCATCGAAGGGAGCCACATAGCGGAATGAGATTGACGTCCTTGCAAATGCATTACCCTGTGGAAAACATAACCACTGGTCAGCCCCAGCTGACAGGATTTCAATATTATTTTAACTTCTGTGAAGTGGGATTTATTCATCCAAAGTGCTGGACACAGTATAAGGAGGGCATGCCAAATTGGAAAGATCCACACAGCACATACAGAATAGCTTACTGTGGAACATTTGTGTTCCTTTGACTCATTCCAATAGTCTGTTTACCTCCTTGGACCATTAAAATAATTTTTATTATGGACTTAGCAATGACACTGAATCCATTTGTATTTAAAACTTTTTAAAATGTAGCTGTTATGACTTGGTCTACTATGGAAGTAAAGAAAAATCAAAAAAGCGTTAAGTCATGGCTTTAAAATGTTAACTATTTTATCTCACAACACAGCACCACAATTTAAGTTATAAAATGAGCTTGGAAATGTTATTTAAGAAGCAGAAATTAAAACAATATGTATTTTTCCTTCATTCTACCTAATTCCCTTTGGAGTAATCCATATTTCCTGAACACTGCTGTGAACTATATATAAAGCTATACTAAATAGAACAACCATAAGGGACTTAGTTTTAAGAGGTGCAACAGTTATTGCAGTGGTGCATGAAATACAAGTGTGCTATGAAACAAAATGAAATCCGTGTCGCAGGTTTATAGCCATCTTACCATTGTACAAGTGAAGCTGAGATTTCCACTGAAAGGGAATATATTCCAGTATCATGGAGTAGGCAGACTCAACAGTGGTGAAGACTGTATTGCCAGCTCCTTCACTACTACCATACAGGTTGCTTAGAACTTCCACTTTGACTCCAGCTCACTTTTGTTTACAACACCAGCCACAAAGAAGATACAACTTTGTGGGCATCTAGATCTGGTTTACATTTTACTTTTGATTCTCCAACACCATGGAGTTCCAGTGCAAAACATAAGCCTACTGTGTAATAGCAACAATCCTTTGCAAAGCTGAAAGTTAAAATGGATTCCAGATGTTCCCTTCTTTGATCCCATAGCAGAAGGGCATTTGTTTATGAGAAAGAATATCTGAATGTGCAGTTCAGGAGACCACATCTGAGTGGGCAAAGATTACAACCAAAGAATAAAAGACTCATGGAGATATCTAGGTTCTGTTCAAATGAGAAGTCAAAAGTGTGCTTGAGCCAAGAGGCCTGTTGGGCTATCAGGAGAAAGGCACACTGGAAAAGGGGTGGCTAGAATGAAGGCTGGCCACCTTCGCCTACATATTTAAAGCTGGACTATATTTAAAGCTAGGGACAGCTTTCAGTGTGAGACTGGAACTCATGCCTCTAGATTATTAGCTAGATGCCTTAACTATTCTGCTGCCACACTCCACTTATTTCATATTACCATATTTTTAATATTCACCAAATACTTTGCATTTTTAAATGAGAAACCAAACTACTTAGGCAAGTAACATTCAAGAATCTATCATAAAAAAGTTTAATGTCATGCTCATCTTCCCCTTCACTTTTCAGTAACAGACTCAACCAGGAGATAAGGAAAGTGGGTACTTTTTTTGTATTATTATATTGTACTTGAACACTTGCCGTTTGAAGCAGGTACTTGATGAATGTGCTTTTGTGTCCAACTATGCCTCCTTTGTTGTAGTGAAATTAAAATTACATGAACAATAACGTGTTACAAATTCTAACTCAAATAGCACTTTTAAAAAAAAGTACTCTTTTTAGTGAAAAATAATTTCAAATTATCATGCAATTTAAGTGTATCAGTGTATTTTACCAATAACAAGCCAAATGTGTTGCACACTATTTACTAATGTGAATTAAAATGGAACAATAGATATTGTTAACAGGACTCATACTATGAAATCCCCCCAACATATTGACAATCTATCTGTGGGGTTTTGTGTAGCCCACATATTCATGACCATCTAATTCCTGTCATTTGCTACCTCTTGCCAGTATTTCCACTTCCATATGCCTGTGACCAGTGGAATTCATTTTCAGTTGGCTTGCATGTATTCACAAATGCTTATCTGCTGCTCTCATCAACATGTAAACAGCTCCTGTTAAAACTGACATCAGTAGATAAAAAACCTGAATCTAGGAGTTGCACATATGGATTAAGGGCAGTATGAAGTCCTTCTCTGTTAAGTGAATTGACTTTCTATATCCTTTTGACAAAACACCTTGGTGCTAGCATATCCAGGTTAGGTAAAAAAAAAAACAAAACCAAAACCAAACAACGATAAAAGGGAAAGGGGTTGCTATGGCATTCTCTAAGCAAGAGGACTCTTTGTATCAGGGTCCAGTTTTCTCCAGGGTATGATTTTGTTTATCAGCTAATGTGTCTTTTTAGCTAACAAGAAAAAGGGTTTCTATGTATTCAAAAGAAACCTTTTTTTTTTTTTTACCTCACTTAGGATATTAAAATTGTAAGGAGTGTTTCCAAAAATGCATTTTGCTCTCTTACTGGTGCTAGAACACTAGGGAGTCTGATGTTTACTCTGCAACATAACAGCACTGAGGTTGGAATTTATAGAACTCCCTGGAGCAACGTTGAATTGTATTGTTAAAAGATTGTACGTGGATTTACAAACTAAGCAATGCTTCAGACTAAGACTGAAAAATGAAATCTAATTCAAAGAAAAATAATTCGTTTCCACAGCACAGTTCATTGCTGCTGCTACACTGTAGCCATCTATATAGTCTAAGCTAAATAGTGTTATATTCCTAAATAGTGACAAAAGGACTATTTGTATAGGCTATAAATACGACAGGCCTAGAAGCAAATAGTAGAATACAAAATGCAGAAATCAATCTGGTGCCAGTACTTCCACTGAGCAATACTATCAGCTGAAGAAGATCAAAACTAGCTAACAAGAAAAAGGGTTTCTATGTATTCAAAAGAAACCTTTTTTTTTTTTTTACCTCACTTAGGATATTAAAATTGTAAGGAGTGTTTCCAAAAATGCATTTTGCTCTCTTACTGGTGCTAGAACACTAGGGAGTCTGATGTTTACTCTGCAACATAACAGCACTGAGGTTGGAATTTATAGAACTCCCTGGAGCAACGTTGAATTGTATTGTTAAAAGATTGTACGTGGATTTACAAACTAAGCAATGCTTCAGACTAAGACTGAAAAATGAAATCTAATTCAAAGAAAAATAATTCGTTTCCACAGCACAGTTCATTGCTGCTGCTACACTGTAGCCATCTATATAGTCTAAGCTAAATAGTGTTATATTCCTAAATAGTGACAATAGGACTATATGTACAGGCTATAAATATCACAGGCCTAGAATTAAATAGTGGAATATTAAATGCAGAAATCAGTCTGGTGCCTGTACTTCCACTGAGCAATACTATCAGCTGAAGAAGATCAAAACAGAAAGACAAATCTACAGATTAACCCCTCAAGGTGTATACACCCCAAAATAGTCCATTTCGTTAGGAACTTTGTAATGGAGTAAATGTCACATAGATATCCTTAATAATGCAGGCTGAAATTACCTTTGTATTATTGTGATTAGTTGCTTATTATTTTATACTTTATATTAATGTGGTACACTTACTTTATTATTATTTTTTGCTATTGTAAGTTATATTCTAATTTATTGTCATGTTTCTTAACAATTGTTCTACGTGCATTCTCCTGCTTGTAATGAAAACAAAAATATTGTAACACGATGCAGTTAAATCCCACACCAGGCACAAATTTGTTTTTAACATAGATAATTTAGTAAAATAAAATTGCAGCTTTAAAGAATGATACCCATGATACAGTTGACTGTTCCCTCACTTACAGTTGCTAGAATTCTGTATGCTTACCATTTGCTTCATCAGATAAATCAAAAGATAAGATTTTTTCTTTCAAGCAACATATATATGTTATGCCAGAATTCTGTCCTTTGCAAAAGCAATGTTTGTCATATATAAGCAAAATAAAAAGGAAAAGGAAAAGGAAAAGGAAAAGGAAAAGGAAAAGGAAAAGGAAAAGGAAAAGGAAAAGGAAAAGGAAAAGGAAAAGGAAAAGGAAAAGGAAAAGGAAAAGGAAAAGGAAAAGGAAAAGGAAAAGGAAAAGGAAAAGGAAAAAAAAAATCAGCAGCTCTCCAAGCTTAGGCTTTACAAACCCCTTTTTCAGATTCAGCAAGCTCAGTGCACCAGCAAGACACAGAATCACAGCACGGTCAGGGTTGGAAGGGACCTCTGGAGATCATCTAGTCCAAACCCCCTGCCAGAGCAGGGTCACCTACAGCAGGTTGTACAGCACGGCGTCCAGGCAGGTTTTGAATGTCTCCAGAGTCAGACACTCCACAACCTCTCTGGGCAGCTTGTTCCAGTGCTCTGCCACCCTCAAAGTAAAGAAGTTTCTCCTCATGTTTAGATGGAACTTCCTATGTTCAAGTTTGTGCCCGTTACCTCTTGTCCTATCACCGGGCACCACTGAAAAAAGACTGTTCCCATCTCTCTGGCACCCTCCCTTTAAGTATTTATAAGTATTGATAAGATCCCCCCTCAGTCTTCTTTTTTCTAGACTAAAAAGACCCAAGTCCCTCAGCCTTTCCTCATAAGAAAGATGCTCCAGTCCCCTAATCATCTTCGTAGCCCTTTGCTGGACCCTCTCCACACAACCCTCTGAGCTCTCTCTGTCGGCCACTGTTCAATCCACCCCACTGTCCATTCATCTAACCCACACTTCCTAAGCTTGCCTGTGAGGATGATGTGGGAGACAGCGTCGAAAGCCTTCCTGAAGTCAAGGTAGACAACATCCACTGCCCTACCCTCATCCACCCATTCATGCATGCCATTGTAGAAGGCTATCAGATTGGTCAAACATGAATTCCCCTTGGTGAATCCATGTTGACTACTTGTGATAACCTCCTTTTCCCCCAGGTGCTTTGAGATGACGCCCAGAACAAGCTGTT